TATAATCTACATATATCCGAAAAAACCTGTCTATTTCCGTAATCCAATCCAAAAAGTCTACAATATTTAAGGGTCGTTTGGTTTGTTATTTTAGATAGGATTTTGGAAATAATACTGGATAGTTGAATAGGGTGATTATTACAAGGTAAAATTTAAAAATGAACAAAAAAACCCCTAGGTTTGCTAATTTAACTAAACACCCTAATATATAAAAAAATTGTAAAATGACAAAAACACCCCCACCCCCCCCATAGTGCTAGATTCTAGTCACCACCGTCAGAATCTAGTGTTACGACTCAGACTAGTCGGATCTAGCCGGACGTGCGTCAATCTGGCCTTTTTCGACCAGATCGATAGCCAGATCTGGTCGTCAATGGCCGCAAAAGGCTAGATCTAGCCGTCAGTGATAGCCAAAGAAATGACTGTTGTTGACGGTCAACGACGGCCAATTAGCCTTTTTCCAGCCAGATCCACTGTGGATCTGGGCAGAAAAGGTCAGATCAGTGAAATACCGGCCAGTTTCGGTCGTTTGTAGGTTGTTTTGACATATTCCGGCTACCACCGACGGTGGTTGCTGGAATCTGGCAACTATGGGTGGGTGGGGATGTTTTTGTTAATTTTTAAACTTTTTTTTGGGGGTATTTAATGAAATTAATAAACTTAAGGGGTCTAAAAGTAATTAAAAAATATAATAGTATTTCCTAAATAGTTAAACAAACAAATATTTTGGGAATAGGATTTGGAATAGGGTATGAAATAATAAACCAAACGCACCCTAAATTACCATTAAAGCAAGGAATATCTACCTTTGATTTGAATTCGCTAGTATCTCTATCCCCATAATCACTTCGTCCATATCCAACGTGCCTCCCAAAATTTGCAAAGTAATCATCTTTTTCATCCGAATCTTCCACGTAGACTTGTTGTCTACCTGTTTGCAAAAACTAGTCTGCCAACAGGCTGTCTGTGATCCACATCATCTCTAGTACGTTGCCTCTTGTCATTTCAGTTTCTGTTGGCTGCAATTTCTTCAAAGCGTCGTTCCAGACACTAGAATATGAGATCCATTCGTTGCTCCAAAGCTCTCAATGCCACCGCTTGCGAGGTCTCAATTCCCTGATCTTCGCCATGAGAATCGTTGCCATCTACAACTTCATCACTTGCCATTAGATTAGAGGAATTTTGTCTGCTTTGATACTAATTGATGCAGCGAGTTAGCGTTAAAATAATAATAATAATAATAATAATAATAAAAATAAGGCTAGCACTCAACTACACCTTGAGAACTGATAACAAGTCTCAATCACATAAATTTAATTCTTACAATTTGAAATAAATCTGAATAATTCATTGAGTGTTCTATCTCTTCAAAAGATTCGTATAATAAGTTTATATAGGGTGACCTTGTTGAATGGGAGGATTACCCCCTCTTATAAACCAGTAGGCTTGAGCGTGTCTGGTCAGTGTGAGACTCCAACACTCCCCCTCATGGTCAAGCCAATATGTTGGGTCATGCCTGTTATTGGAGGTAGTTTTCGGCTCTAACTCCTCACCCCCTGGTCAAACACTCAGCTCAACTGAACTTAGGCTCTGATACCATGATAGAATTTAAGGTAGGTTTGACTCCTCACCCAATAAGGTTTTGTTGAATAGGAAGATTACCACCTCTTATAAATCAGTAAGCTTGAGCGTGCCTAGTCGGTGTGGGACTCCAACAATTATTGACTAATTATAAAATAAGAAAGTAAAATTTAACTAAATTAAAACTTACTAAATCAACTAAACTTCTAATTAAAATAGAAAACTACTTGAATTCTTAATATGAAACCCTAAATAAATAAGAAAATCAAATAAAGAAAGGGAAAGAAAATTAAATTTTAATTAAATCCTAATTTAACACTATTTTCCCTGCATCAATCTTCTTGCACAGCAATGAATCATTGATCTTTATTGTTTCAAATGCGTTATCGTTGTTTTCTTCTTCTACTTGTGTTGGCGTTCTTAGAACTCCTCACTACTGCTCGCTATACAGAAAAAGATTTTCGCATAGTCTTGCCTACAAAACTTGTATTTGGTATTCTCACTCTCTCCTTTTCTATAGTAACGATGGTGGCATGTTTCGGCGCTGCCATTTCACTGGCCCTTGAAAATCGAGTACATTGGGTTGGAATTCCGGATTTTGTTCTTTCACCAATTCCAATTTCGTTCTATGCTTTCTCTCAATTTCCTCTTCTAATTGAGATATTCAATTATACACGTGGAGTTGGTATCTTTCAAAAGAGGAAAGTGACTGCACGAAGTGATCTGAAAGGAATTTGAGATTAGATTTTACATTAAGTATGCTGTTTGTTTCAGACTTAATATACGTTTGATATTTAATATTATATTTGGTTGTGTTATCATGATTCTATAGTGCTGGAGAGTTACCAGATGTTTGAGTTTGAGTGGATATTTTGCCTCGTGCATTTATGTTAAGAGATCGATCACAGTAATATAATGCCTAAATATATTCCTTATCTAATTGTTCAAAAGATAAGGCAACGGCTGGGATGAATATTCTTAATTAGCTTGCCCAGTTGATGTATCGTCTCTTAAATTCATGAGAAGAATACATCAACTGTATTCAAATAGGATCAATGTTTTCAGTGTCTCATGAGAAAAAAGAAAATAATAGAAACCACAAACATACGGAAAGCCATTGGAATATGAAAGATCTTCCTTGGTTTGCCACAAACTAAGAAAATGCTGGAAAATCTAGAGTAGCCTTATGTCATGTACTTGAATTTGTTTTTATATCTCGTTAATCGTAATTAATTTGATTGATAAATAAATTAATAATATTATACTTACAAAGAAATCTTATAAAAAATTTCATACAAAGAGATGTAACAAAAAATAAATAGAACAATGAAACAAAAAGTCAAATTCATTATATTAATTCTTCCATTTATTTTTTACCACATCACTTTGTATGAAAATATTTGTAAGATTTTTTTATAAGTATAACAATACTCTAAATAAATACTATTGATGTGGTATTCACCCTGTAGCATAAAACTTTCTCAAAAGAAGTTGAAGAATTCCAAAGCTTTGTTTGCTATTGACTACTAAAAAGACAAGGAAATTACAAATAAAAGACAATGGTAAGAGAGAGAAGACAAGGAAGAAAAGTTATAAAAAGATGAAAAAGAAAATTAACATTTTGTTTGAATTGATTTATAAGGGCAAATTACTATATTAGTATTTTTCATATTATGAAATTATTTGATTTATTTAATTAATAGAAAGGATTATACAAGGTGACAAATTAATTATTATTAACAACAATATTTCCAGTCATTCGTGAAACGTTAACAAGGAATAAAGCGATAGCAATACATGTATTGTGGTGATGAAAGAACTTCACCTAACTAAACATATGAAAGAAGGAAACAAAGAAAAAGTAATAGTAAAAGTATTTGATGATTTATCACTTAAAATTTAGTAAAGGTTCGAAATTAATAGGAATTCCTTACCCTAATTGCTTAAGAAGGAGGAAAATAAATAAGAATCTTAGTTTTTACGATATATAAAGTTTAAGGAACTTGTCTCCTAATAACTTCTGGAGTTAAACTTTGAATTTTTGCTTACATATATATACCCAATTACACCCATAATTTTCGCTCTTTGAAGTGGACGATCTGTTTTTGGAAAACAGTTATTACACTAATTAAAAAAAAAATGTTGGATTTATTTAAAATGAAGTAATTAATCTAATGATTAGTTAACATTGTCGAATTCATAATATAATGGATTTTATTTTTGATCAATTAATAAATTGTTATAAAAGGAGAGAGAAATTATGGCGAATAAGACTTACTTATGGGACACTTTATTCCAAGTTGATGAATATTAATCAACGTACGCCAGTTTATTTTGTGTTGATTAAGGAATTACGGAAAAACAAAAAATAAGTAAAACCGAATTAAAAAAGAATATTTAGATCATGAGGAGAAGAAATGAATATGTTCGAGATATTTTACGTGGTAAGAAAACATCAAAGGTAATATTAAAAAAAAGTATAAGAATAACTTAAAGATTGTGAGAAGCCTGCTGGAGCTAGCTTCACAGCCAATCTCTCTTTGTATTGCATATAAATACTTGAAGCTTTAATGCTCCATGCAACTTAACACTACTCAGCAAAAATTTATGAAGTAGAAGGAGCAGAAGTTTTGTCTCGAAGTTTAAGTTCAAGTAAGTTCTTTATGCATCGATTCATTAATCCTATATATATGCAAGATTTCCTTTACTTTCTTTAATTTCTTTCCGACAGATCTAAAAATTAACTTGAATATTTTGCTCCTTCGTTTCTTTATAAAGACCTGCATCATGATTCCTACAAGTTTCCTAGATGGCCGTTCATCTAAAATTCCCCATTTAAATCCTATTCCCTGCCTAAAATATGAATTGATCTAGAAATGGCGGAATCATGAAATCATATTCTTTATAAAGTATACAAAATTTCCGGTAGTAGAACCTAGACAGCACAAGGGGATTAATTATTTCTTTAAGTTCTTTTACTGTTGTACCATGAAATTTTTTATGAAGGATAAGGTTCGCTATGTCTTCTGATTAAGTGTTTTAATTTTCTTCTCGTTTTTATTAATAAACTTTTCTTGTATGGTCAAAATCTACCAAAGAAAGAAATTAATGTGCATGTCTTAGCACTTCCTTTTTCTCCACTTATGTGCTTCAATCTATTCATCTTTGAGTAATATTATGACTATAATTATTTCTCATAAATTTTCTCTCACAATCCTAAAGTGACAACTCGTGATTGATCACCTCGCAAATGAACAGACGGGACTCATAGTGAGCAGGCAAAATTCATTTACAAGCTAATCAATTGTGAATTGACACGTCAAAGTTATGAGAGAAAGTTTGTGAGAAGAAGTTGAAAACATATTATTTTTTATTAATCTTTTAAATTTGTTGTTTCTTTAGAATAATTACCTACTAGCATGGCTGGGGGATTTGCCGGTATCTTTACTGAAAAACTTTCCGAAGAAAACTACGATAATTGGAAGGAATGCTTGAAAAGCTATTTTATAGCGAATGGTCTTTGGAATGTAGTGACTGGAAAGGAAGCAAAACCTGAAGGAAGATCTGAAGGTTATAAGGAGTGGGTGAGGAAGAACGCCATGGCTTTACATGCAATCCAAATTTCTTGTGGGGGAGATACAATGTCAGAGCTCAGAGGAAATGAATCAGCCAAATTTGAGTGGGAGCTTTTGGCAGAAAAAATTCGAGTACCATTGCCAAATGGAAAAGTTGAGGTGAAGGAACAAGGTAATTAATTCCCAAGCATACCATAATAGTTATTCAATAAATGTGATAAAAAATATTGAGTAATTAACCATATACAAATATACATACATACATATAGATACATACGTACATACGTACATATACATACATACAAACATACTAAAAGGAAAGAAATAACAAATAATTACTATTTAAATAGTTTAGCACATCAGTCTTTGGCTATATAGTAAGTTTAGTTAATGCACAGAGTCTGCAAGAATCAGAAAGCTCTTCTTATGTATTGATGCTTGAGGTTTGCCAAAATATGTACGCATTTGAATATTGATTCTTTACTCTAGTTAAGTTTCTTTGAAAAAAAAAAAGAAAAAAATCATTTCTCCACAATTGTCAAGATTATTAGAACTCAGAAAAAAATGTTATATTTATTGATCATTTATAGATGATGAATTTGACAGCAAATACTTTGTTGATTCAATGTTATATTAGTTGCATTTTGCAGCTTACTTTATTTTTAAAAACAAGAAATTGTATCAGGTTCTATATCAAACAGACACTGAATTTATGTTCAATTTGCAGCAACATCAACCATCACAGAGTATCGCACCTTATCGAAGGCGGTAGAAGAAGGAGATTGGGAAGCTACAAGAACTTTCCTTGAGAAAAAACCTGATGCTTTAAGTGAAAAGATTACATTGAACGGTGACACTGTTCTTCATGTTGCGGTTATGGCTGGACAAACTGAGATTCTGAAGAAATTATTGGCATCAACAGGAGCGGACTTAGAGCTCAAAAATGATATAGGGTATACAGCGTTCTCAATTGCAGCCATCAATGGATTCAAAGATATGGTAGAGCCAATGCTTGAAAGAGATGAAAATTTGGTTAAACTTAAGGATGTTCATGGCCTAATTCCAATTGTTGCGGCATCGTTTTATAGCTCGAAAGAGATGGTACGTTATCTTTACACGAAGACCCCACATGAAATGCTAAGTCCAGAAAATACTGATAGGAGTGGTGCCACTCTTCTCAATTGTCTCATCACCGATGAGCTTTATGGTGAGTTTAATTAATAATGAAAATTTTCTCTTTTTGGTGTACCTTTTATACATGAAAATCTGATTACTACTTAATATTATACAGATAATCTATTTCTTTTGTGAACATTTCGCATTTTGATATTAATAATTTATTAAAATTTCAAATTTAATTAGATGGTACCAATAAACAGTTTATTATATCATCTGATACTTGAAAACTTTTGAATTATATATACTAACTCGATCTCATATAACACGATATTACTATTTTGTTATCAAATCATTCAAATTGTATTTATAAAACATTTAGAGTTAATCTATTATTTGTTTTGTATTACGATCAATTTTTATGTAACAATGCATATACAAAGCTTATATAACTTATTATTATGTGACAGATGTGGCTTTACACCTATTGGAAAGATACCCATCACTTGGTTTTGTGGAAGATCTCCACAGAAACTATGCCATTAGATTGTTGGCTCATAAACGTTCTGCGTTCCCAAGTGGAAATAGATATGTTTTTTGTAAACAATGGATTTATTCATGTAAGTACTACTGCTTTATTTATACCTTTCCTTGATTATTTCCTGAATTTTTCATTTCAATTTGTAGGGAGTCTATGCTAGAATTAAAATACATATACTTAGTGTTTATTCTATCTATTCCTGTAATTCCAACACAAAATAAGTGGATTATGCTCTCAATTTGATGAATATATTCATAGAAATAAATATGAAATGATTTAACTGCTATTGATGCAAGGTATGAGGGTGACTTCCACTCAGTATGAGGATGAATATCCACAATCAAGTGATGAGGAAAGCAATATAAGAATTGAATTAAAAACAAATACTCAACAAGGTACGTCCGTATTCAGTAATTTCACTTTCATAAACTTTCAAGGCTAGTTATAGAGTCATTTCAAAAATTTATCTCTTCTGTGACTGTCCACATTTTATTAAAATGTAAAATTTATACTGGTGATAAATAGTTTATTACTATCATATGATATTAAAAGATATTTTTTTCATTGAAAAATATAAAATTTAATCTTTCAGTATTTGTCATTATTTACTAATAAAAATTTGAATTTGATTACCGCTATTTAAACTATGAATCTCATATGATAGTGGTGATAAACAGTTTCTTACTGTCATTTCATACTAATAGATAAAAATTCAAACTTGTTTTTTAGTATTTGTTATTGTCAACTAATAAAATTCTAGATTTAAAAGAATGAGTACCTCGACGCTTGATGATTTCAGTAATCTAATTTAAGAATTTATGGCCTTCGCCATTTTTTATAACAAAACTTTATCTTCTGCTACAGTGCTTCTCAATAAATTACGTATGCTCCTTTGGAACTTATTGACATGGATTGGTACGTATAGAAACTCATTCATGAAAGCTTTAATCTTTGGAATCGGTACTATTAATAGTTAATTCTTTTAACTAAACATATTTCTATTCTCATAAACTACATGCAGTCCCTGATATAGGTCACATGTACAATAGAAAATCAAAACATTATGAAGCTCAAAAATTTCTGAAAAGCATAATCAAGCACATACCATATTTAAGCAAGGAACAGCTTGCAAAAATTGGATGGGATGAAGCGATATCCGATGCTATAAGAAATGGAATAACTGAGTTCATTGATGAGGTGATTGAATCAACCCCAGAAATCATATGGCGAAAAGATAAGAAGGGAAGAACAATTTTTTCCCATGCAATTGTGCAACGCCAAGAAAATATTTTCAGCCATATCTATGGATTGGGTGCAAAGATGCGCATTGCGATCATTCGACACGACATCTTTCACAACAATTTTCTGCATTTAGCTGCAAAGTTATCGCCTCCCTCTAGACTCGATCGAATTTCTGGGGCGGCTCTTCAAATGCAAAGAGAGTTAGAATGGTTTGAGGTAATTATTTAATCATACATATTTCTAAAGTCTATGCAAAATGAAGTTATAATTCGAAAATCTAAGTTATATCTAGTATTTGGATTGCGTTTAATGTAATATTTGAAAATTGTTCATAGAGTTAAAAGTCATTGGAAAAACTGACAAAATATACTCAATTTTTTTAATGTTACACTGGTTTTTAAGATTCAAATAAAAATTGTTTGATTTAATAATAAATAATAGTACTTTTAATTTCCACTAATTTTTTAGATTTTATCATAAACCTTAGTTTTCAAACCCTAAACTGTTAACATTAATTTGCGAAATCTTATTTGTTTTTCTCCTAATAAACCATGCTTTCAGGAGGTTAGTAGCATCTTACCACCAAAATACATGGAAGAAGTGAACGAAAACAACAAGACACCTAGTGAATTGTTCACTGATGAACATCAGGAATTAATGAAACAAGGAGAGAGCTGGATGAAGAACACTGCAGCTTCATGCATGGTCGTTGCAACCCTAATCGCCGCGGTTATGTTCACCTCAGCTTTCACTGTTCCGGGCGGTAACGATGAGCGAAGAGGAACCCCAATTTTCTTGAATAGCAATGCATTCTTGATCTTCGTTATTTCTAATGCAATATCTTTATTTGCTTCTTCTACTTCTGTGTTAGTGTTCCTGGGAATCCTCACTTCTCGCTATGCAGAAAAAGATTTTCGGAAATCCTTGCCTAGGAAACTTATAGATGGTCTTTTTACTCTCTTCTTTTCAATAGTAACGATGATGGCATGCTTTGGTGCTGCCATTTTTTTGCTCCTACGAGAACGTTTGCATTGGATTGCCCTTCCCATTATTGTTCTTTCTTCAATCCCAATTGCTCTTTATTCTTCATTCCAATTTCCCCTTCTTATTGAGATTCTTATTTATACATATGGAGGCGGTATCTTTGACAGTGAAAGAAAGCGCCTATATGCTAGAAGTAAAGTGATATGAAAGGAATTTCATATTTATCTTATGAGTAACCACATCCATAACCCATTCTCACAAACTTTCTCTTACAATCCTGATGTGTCATATTGCACTTGGTCGGCCACAATTTATCAGGTAAGACTCAGGTGAGATCCATTGTGACCTAATCAATTGTAAGATGTCATGTCGAGATTGTAAGAGAAAGTTTGTGAGAAGAGGTTGTGAATATAACATTTTCCTTATCTTATTTTCACATTTGTATATATATGTTGTTTTATATAATGTTTTCGTTAATATGAATTAAATTTCTCTCTTAATATGAACTTTTTTAAGCTTTTAAAATCCTTAAACATTTATATCTCAAGTTTTATTCCTTCTTAAATATGATGTGATATTGAATTACAAGTAAAAATCACGAGATACAAATTCGAAATATAAGGTAGAGTTGTCTTAATGTATACATTTAGGATATATATATATAGTAAGAGGTTTCGTTAGATGCTTGAATAAACAATTAAATAAAAAGAGACAGATTTATACATGAATTTTATCTTACCCATAATGTATGCGATCAGATATGGGAAGGACTTGTTGGGGAGTTTTATTATGTTCTTGAACTTTCAATACCACTATAAGAATAGTGGCTAAAAAATCATGTCATAATGGATGGAATGGTTGAAGTTGACAAGAAATATCTTCGTTGAATTATGGTTAGTGGAGATGATGTTTGAGTGAGGATAAAAGTATTTTTTGGTTGTCATGGATGGAGATGATAATTCCAAGGGGACTTGGGCCTCTGCCCCACTTGAATATAAATTTTTTGGGGACTTACTCAATTTCTTGTTGTTTGAATAGAAATACATGTTGAATGTAGACTTTTTTATTTGGGTTTTAATATTTTGAATTAGATTAAATTTTACTCCATCAATAGTTATTATTTATGAAAGGAATATTATATTACAAAAAGAAAAACAATCTGATAGATTCAGCATTTTCTGTAGTATAAAATTTATGATAAATTTAATATCTAAATATGGTAAAATAATCATTGCCTAAAATTTATAATAAATATATATGCTAACTGAAAATTCATATAAAATGATAATAATTATAAATTTTCATTGAAAATTCTTTGAATATTTTTTTCTTTTTGTATAAAAATTAATATGTCAATTAATTAGTTTTATGAATATTACAACTAATAAACAAATATATCAATTATGAATAGGTTAAAGTTTATTATTTAAAATTAATATCAAATTTTGTCAAAGATAAACTCACGTGATATATAAATACATATAGAGATAAAAAAAAAAAATAAATAAGGAAGCTAGAAAAAAAATGAAATTAATTTCTTTATGGGACACAAATGTAATAGAACTAAAATATGACGGATTCATTTGAAGTTTCAAATTTTATGGGGCTGTCTTCAATACGGGTCCACATTACATGTGTCAAATGAAAGTAAAATATTGAAAAAGAGAGTATTCTCATTAACGATACCAGATGGTTCCATAAACTCAATTTAAACTCTGAAAATTCATTTTACGGTATTACGAACGTCGTACGGTAAGATAATCAAGTAATTATTACATTAAATAATTACCAATTACTTTAAAGGTAGAAAAGAAAAAACAAAATTCACAAACAACATAAATTCATTTAAGGATGATATCTCCGTTGTATCTTAGAATTTTTCCATGATTAGTATCAAAGAAATTATATATCTAATTTACAAAAATTATCTAGTCAAAAGTTTTGATATTATTTTTGTCACGGTCACACTAAAAACAGTTTAATTTGTCATCTTTAAATTGAATTTATATTTTAAAGAGAATTTTGACAACTTTAAACATGATTATGATATTATTATTATCTGTGATCAAACTCTAAAACCACTTATTAGAATCAGACACATACAATTAAACCAAAAGTTATAACATACTATAAAACACAACCTTATTTTTTTAAACCATCAATAATATACCATGATTTGAGATGATTTAGCCTCAAAACTCTGTTATGGCATGATACCGACGTAATTAACCAATATATATATATATATATAATCACATGAAATAATATATCGCTTGAACTAACAATTATCGGTGAAATTTGCTAAATTTATTCACCTTATAATATTCATATTCAAATTTACCCCAAACGGCTAGTACCAAAAAAAAAGGAAAATTAGCCCAAAAAATACTCCAACGTACCTCTCCAATGAGATGCGCACACCATGCGCACGTTAGCACCCTTCCCCCCCTTTTTACCCTTTCTCTTTTCCCCGCGAGTCTCCGTAGGCGAAAAAACAATTTTCCCTTCCGTTTCTATTTTCCACCAAGCACTCAATTAAAATTTTCTTCAGCTCTCTCTCTTTAATTTAATTCTAGAGAGCTCCATAAAATTTTTAATTGAAATTCGATTTTTACCCTCGACCATCGCCATTAATCCCGAATTTGCCCCTGCCTGGACCGTCGCCATTCATGGCTCCAGCCACCTCCTCTTCGGCGGAGGCCCGGCGGTTCGTCGGCTCGCGGAGGAGGACCGAGGCTCCGCGAGGAATGCACTCGCCCTCGCCCTCGCCGCCGCCGAAGAAGCTGAAGTCAATGGCGGAGATACTCGCCAAGGCGCGCTACGCCGTGGTGGACCGCGGCGACTACAGCGACGTCATCTGCGAGCAATGCCGGTGTGGCGAGAGCCCCGACGAGCTCCTCCTGTGCGATAAGTGCGATAAAGGCTTCCATATGAAGTGCTTGAGACCGATAGTTGCTAGAATACCGATTGGATCGTGGCTGTGCCCGAATTGCTCCGGCCAGAGACGTGTAAGAAGTAGGGAATTTGTTTTTGCTTTTATTTTCATTTTTCATTTTTAATTTTTTTTTTTAAATTCTGGAAATTGCTATGTTACCGGAAATGTTAAGAAAGATGAATGGTAATAAGATAATGTAACGGTACCGACAGGGATAACGTTGCTGTTCCGGTAATGTAGTATGATCCTGTGGTGGAGGTTTTGGTTTTGAAGTTTTTTAATGAAAATGTGGCAATGTGTTTTGTGTATTATCTGTTTTGTTTCTTAGGTTTTTCGCAAAGGAAGATAATTGATTTTTTCAAAATTCAGAAGTGTAAAGAGGCGAAAGAGAGATGTGGTTGGTCTCATCAAGGTGCATTTTTTAATTTTTAATTTTTAATTGTTTGATGGTGGTATTGTTGTTTTGAAGAGTGTTTTTATTGAACTTCTCAGGCTTCATACAACAATTTAATTGTGTCTGCTCACATATTGCATGGAAAACAAGAGCAAGTTTAGATAAAACAAGATGAGGTTATAAGAGAAGAAATAGATTCAGTTTAAGCAAAGCACTACTTTTTCATACTCCGGAACTCCTCAGCCATCCCTCTGTGTTCATTGAGCTCTAAACTAGGGGTTACTTCTACACCCATAACCATGGTAGGAAGGAAAATTATAGGAGATATGATATCTCAGATAGGATAAAATATCTGAAGTAGGTGGCCCCCTTGACCTCATAGCTGAAACCACGGTCTTTTATCTCTAAGCCTGACCCATGAGGTTAAGCTCTTAGCTTAACTAGCCCATAGTTTAGAATAAGATAGGAGAAGAAGGTGTTATTAGTTATAATGCATTTTGTGAAATGAAAAATGTGCTGATTCTGGTATTCAGGATTATGAGGTTTTTGATGTAATGGCAAGGATTTACCTAGTAACAATTTTATACAGATGTGTTATTTTAACAATTGTTCTTGCCAAAACTGAAAATACTTTAAGCTTTGACCAAATTTAGAATTTTATGATATGTTTTTTACTTGACTAAATGTGGAATAATTTAGACAAAGCTATGTGTAATAAACCAGTGCGATGGTCAGCTATTTGAATAGGAGGATTGTTGCACTGGAAATTTGCATAAGCCAACTTAGAAAAGTGGAGAATCTACTATCATAATTTAAGAAAATTAAAATAATTCCCAGAGAATGCTGGATTTGTTAATCTGTTATGTCTATATTCATGCATGAGCAATATACTTGATATTTTCGGGTTTTTCTACCATTAGCATTCTTCATCTTAGGCTAACACATGTGGAACAAAAGGTTTAGGGTTTAAGGTTATCAAATAAAACCTGTCTAAAGTAAAATGGTCGAGATTGGATTCTATATATTATTTTAGATAGGTTATTATAACTAGAGAAGTGAGCAAATTAGTAGATTTTCAATGATGACTAATGTCTTTGGACTTCTCACCTTTGACATATGCAACAAATTGCACAGATCTTTTCATAAAAAATAAGAAAAGAATATGACATCATAAGGCTATCTGCCACATGGGTTGACTAGCCTTTTTCTTGGCATAGGACATTATAAGGCTAAATGGAATATGATATGAGTTATCCTATGAGCATTTTATATCGGATCATGTTATAAACACCATGAAATGCTATATACTTTGTTTAATAGTCCGAATTGCTTTTGATTGCTAATCTCTAACTGGTGTGTTTTTTTCATTTCTTCTGGTTTTATTTCTAGATGCTCGAAGGCGTCGAAGACGATCGGCATTGGTGTTACAAAAGAAAAGAAGGAAATTGTTGCCATTTATTCCATCAGAAGATCCTGCGCAAAGGCTGAAGCAAATGGGCACTCTTGCTTCTGCTTTAACAGCAATGCAATTGGAATTCAGTGATGATCTAACTTATATGCCTGGCATGGCACCTAGATCTGCCAATCAGGCAAAGTTTGAAAATGGTGGCATGCAGGTTTGAACACAAAAATTCCTCTTTCCATTTTGTTTTCTTCACTTGTAGTTCTCTCACATTAGATTTTAGCTATGATTATGGCATTTCTCTTAGATTCTTTCCAAAGAAGATACAGAGACCTTGGAACAATGTAGAGCAATGTGTAAAAGAGGCAAATGCCCACCCCTTGTTGTAGTTTATGATTCATGTGAAGGGTATGCTATTATTGAACTCCTTTGGTAGTGCTTAGCCTTTGTGTTCTATAACCTATATCAAGTAATATCATGTTCATTCTCTGGCGCAGTTTTACTGTAGAGGCAGATGGCCCCATAAAGGATATGACATTTATTGCTGAATACATTGGCGATGTCGATTTCCTAAAAAACCGGGAGCACGACGATTGTGATAGTATGATGACCCTTCTTTTAGCAACAGATCCATCTAAAAGTCTGGTCATATGTCCTGATAAACGTGGAAACATTGCTCGCTTTATCAATGGAATAAACAATCATACTCCGTAAGCCTATGTAACCCATCACATATCAATATTCTGAACTATAGTAAATGTATAAGTACAACAATTTAGAAACTTCCTTATCTGGACTTATACTGGCTATGAATTTTTTTCTATGCTGAAACAAGTTGCCTAGTTTAGCTCCAATGGACTATATTCAATTCTATGCTTCTTTATGTTAATTTTGATGAGAGAATACCTATGTCCATTTTTCTTAAAAGATATCCAAATTTGTGCAGGGAAGGTAAGAGGAAGCGGAATTGTAAATGTGTGAGATACAGTGTTAATGGTGAATGCCGAGTCTTTTTGGTTGCTACTCGTGATATTGCTCAGGGGGAGAGGCTATACTATGATTATAATGGATATGAGCATGAATACCCTACTCATCATTTTGTCTGAGAAAACAAACTATATCAGTTTAACAGTCCTACAGAACTGAGATGCAATTTTGGATCTCGATAGACCTCTCTCATTTGGCATTTATATTATTTCACAGCTTATTGTTATTGCACAGTCAAAAGCATTTCTTCAAATTTGTACCCAGGACCAATTTAATGTAACTTATGCTGTAGGACTGATCCATTCTTTGTCCATGAGAGAATAGAGCGGGCGAGATAAATTTCCCTGGGAATTTTGCATATGAAGAATTTAGATGTCCTAGAAGTTATTCAAGAAATAACATCTGTTTTCTTTACAGATTTTAATTAAAGTTTTTGCTTTTATCTGATGACTTCCATTCTATTGCTTTCAAGATTAGTTACTTTCTGCTGGACTGATACGGGCATTGTGATCTGGTCGTATATCTTTCTGTTAATCTCTCGGTCATTCAGAAATGTGATGGTTACCTTTCAGTTTACAATGCTTAACTACCATGTGGGATACATGAATATTAGAGAAGAGAAAACCTGCAATCAGTTCCACTTTAATGCTGTAATTTCTTGCAGTCACACACTTACAATGATGCACTTAGAACCTTCATAAAGCATACTTCTGCAGAATTGGATTGATCACTTTGTTGCAAAGTTTTCTTTTGAGATGAAACTATCTTCATCAGTTCATTCCGAACATTCACAAATTAAGGATTCTAATTATGACTTATACAGGTAAGATTGTTTCCCTCTATTAACTTACAACTTAGAATATATGATAAAGTCTTTGCATATAGACATGTTTATATTTTTTTCTTCTAGTCACTGCATGTCGTGTGTACTGAACAGCTCTCGTCGAGTATTCCTTCTGAGTTAATTTGCTGAAGTCTGTTATATGATATGGTTATTCTCTCTTTCTATTGTACTTCAGTGTATAATACTATGGATGGACTTCTCACATTGATTGACATTTGTGACTGATTAAGAAGATACATATAGTGTTTGCATCTCTTATTCTATTTTTATATTTATTTTTGATGTTTAAATACTTTGCTGAATTACGTTGCACATAAGTTAGCTTATTGAGTGTTTTTCTAATATCAAAATGAGTTTTATATCTCTCGATATAGCTTTATAATTGCGTTTTCTTATGAGGATTCTGCAAATTTATAATGTTTATGATTTGTTGACTTTGCAAGAAAAGGGCAGATTACATCTAGACTGGAAAAATTGAGATGCCCTTGCTGCTTTGCAAGTGCATGGTCGCCTTATTGTTGACCTTTGTGTGCCTTGCTAAAGGATGACAAAGCTGCTTCATCTTTGGGATTTTTGCCAAGGGAATGAAGTACGTTCTCTCTCAGGCTTAAATTGATTTGGAGACCTCATCAGAAGCATATGGTACTTCATTCTTCTGTCTCGGGAGCCAATTCTCAGTTGATCTAAACTTGGCGGCATCTTTCAGTTCAAGTATGCAAGTCCTCTTTGATCAAGCTCAAGATGTGATTAGCATCTCTTGCATTTTATTACTTCTCACAACTACTTTATTTTCTTTTCTGTAAGCATTGACACATATTCAAAACGGAGTTTTTAATGTGACTCATATAAAAGTATGCTGTTGTTTCTGCATTCCTTTCTTGAATGTCTGTTCATCAGCTTTATTTAATCCTTCATGGACCCGTCAACTTATATCTGAAAGGGGCAACCCAATGCACCATTTCTGTACCGAGCTCTTCCGCCTTTTCCAATCCTTCTGAACAAAAAGGGTCACTTTTCGTTGCTGGAGTCAAATATCCTCTCAATTGTTGTTTATTGATTATGGATACCAACTAATTTGGAGTGTGATAAGAACCTATTCCCAAATTAATAAGAATCGTGCTGGACGGTGGGCCTTTGATAAGAATGGGGTTGGGTAGTGGTCTACTAGTCTTCTTTGTAAGCTTAGATAGAATTCTCCTTAGAAAACCGGTTTGCCAAGGGAGGGTGCTCAAACCCTTAGAAACCACATGTCTACTCCTTTTCCCTCTTAATGTGGGATCCTAACATTCCCCCATCTCGTTGGTCTTTTTTCTAGAGAGCGCTCACCCTCATCGGCCTTTAATACCCTCTCTTTGGGTATTACTTTGTCTAGAAGTCTGTCTAGCCCTAAAAGCCTATCAGCAAGTATTCTTCTCGACCTCTCGGGGGCCCACTGGGCCCTGTTGTATGGGCTTGAATGGTAAGGCCTGCTTTGATACCATTTGATAGGAATTCATTTTCAAATTAATAAGAATTAGGCTGGATAGCGGGCCTTTGATAAGAATTGGGTTTGGGTCCTTTTTTGGGGTTTGTTTAGAACTCTTCTTGGAAAACCGGTTTGCTAAGAAAGGGTACCTAAACCCTTATAAACCATATGCCCACCCATTTTTCCTTTCAATGTTACCTTTTCTCATATGCATCGAGCTCAATATGTTATCTGAAGGTGACTGATTCAGTTTGCCAGACTGATAATGCTTTGAATATTGGCCCGAAATGACTATTGACTTTACTGATTAAACGATTTCATTCATCAACGATGATGAATAGATTGATTTAAGCCAGTAAAGTTCAAGATTGTGTACAGCAAGGAAGAAATTATCTGCGCTTTGGATTGATCTGTATTTGATATCTACTTGTTTCTAATCATCTTTTTACCGCTTGAATTGATGAAACTCAAACAAATTTTGCATCGCGTGTGTGGTCGTCCAATGTTGAAAGAAACAGGTTATCACTTATCACTTAAGAATGATCGATTTAATATTTTGAGTTAATGATATTAATTTCTCTGAGGTATAAAAAAATAACAAAATCCCTATGAGGTTTAGGAAATAATAAAAAAATCATCTGCAGTTAAATTTTAGATGTTAAAATAAACGATAGAAGAGTAATTTGATAATATTTATTAATTTATAATTGTTTAAATTTTAACGACTCAATAATAGTTTATTAAATTGTTATTTTGTAAACTTCAAAGGGATTTTCGTCGTAGATTAAAGTTATTAATTAACTCTAATTTTTTTGGTAATTTAATAGTAAAAAACTTTTTTATATTTTTTATATCAAAAAACTAACAATTTTTTGCGTTTCTATAAATTTTACACCCTAATTTTGGAAACTAAAGTCTGGAAGGATGGTATTAAAAAAAAAATAATAATAATAAAAAGCTCCACCCACTTTGTCACTTTCTCTAACTATTGGGCAATTAAGTAAATCTGCAAGGAAGAAATAAAAATAAATAACTAAAAAGACTAAAATTGGGTCTAGCTCTACTTTCTTCAAAATCTTTTTCTTTCCACTTTGTAATTTGTTTCACTGAATTAGCCATGCCCAATTTCCTCTCTATCTTTTACCAAATTCAACTTGTAATAATCCTTTAACTTCGTTTTTTAACTTACTAAATAAAAATCTTCACTTTTTTTTTTTTTTTTTATTTGATTAATTATTTAATTTTTAATATAAAACTATTTTATATTCTATGTTATGAAAATATAACCACTTGTTATATTTTTAACATAATATTTTTCTAACCAAAATATCGGTCCAATATTTTTATCAAGAATTATATTTGTTGGGATATTGTGACTCATTTTCCTATTTGTTCTCATATAAAATTATATGTCTTTAGGAAAACACTTTAGTAAAGAATACAATTTTAAATAAGAATAGAATTATGAAAATCCAATTAGGAATTGAAATATGAATCCTATTAGGAATCGAATATCTCATATATTACCTATAAATACAGGGGTGAGAACCAATTCAAGGTTATGAGAGAATATGAGAACACATGATATTTGATATAAGAGTTATTAAACACCATAGGAAAAGTGTCTTAGAAACTGTGATCGTTTCGACTTTAGGTACTAGATTGAGTGTGGTTAGAAACTAGGATTGTTTCCGCTCTGTTTTATATACAAGGTTTATGGTGTTGTGTACTCTTATATATCGTGTTCATGAAACTATAGTAGATTTCTCTCATCCGTGGATGTAAACGAGTTATGCCGAACCACGTAAATATCCTATCTCTTTATATTGTGTGATTTTATTCATATGTTATTTATCTCGAATATATGTTTTTCGTTGCGCGATCTCTTAACAATATTATGTCTCTTAATAAAACTTATTGATCCGAGAATTAACGAATAATACTTCTCACAATGGACTACTAATACAATCTCAAAGGATCTGACTCAATTTTTATAAGAAATATGCCACCTCAAATAGGGAATAATTTGAGAATTTTAACTAAATGTGTTTACAGTCGCACTTAGCCCAATCTCAAGGATCTAACACAATTTTTCAAATAGAGGTATGCCACCTCAAAATAGGCAACAGATTATTTAAGATTTTGATGGTATGGATTAAATAACAAAAATCTCCTTATTTTTAAGTTTTAAATGTTAAAATAACTAACATAAAGGTAATTTGGTAAATATTTATAAGCTCCTAACTCAAAGCAATCCTGTAAAACAGAGAATTTTTTTTATTATTTTCGAAACTTATAAACTTATAATATAAATTTATAAGTTAGACACACTAAACTTGTAAAATACATAAATTTAATGATTTATTATTCTAAAACCAAGGAAAATGTAAAATAAATATATATATATAAAAAATGGAGAAATGAAAAAGGGGAAGTTGTTAAGCAGCAATTTCAAGAGAGAAATACTGGAAGCCAAGGGGTTTCCACTATTCATTAATTAGATCCACAAAAGATATCATAGTACATAAAATTCGAGGAATCAAATCCCATGTGATTCATTCACGATTGAAGCTGATTTGAATAATTCCCATTTTGTTTTAAGATTCATCAATCAATTTCTGCAGAATCTAGCTTCTGGGATTCGCAGCTTTTCCACCATCTTCTTGTCCAAAAGCACTTTCATTTTAGGTGCTTTCTTGTCCAAAGCAATTCATTCAACCATTTTTTTTTTTTTTTTTAAACCGAGCTGTTCAGATCAGTTTGTTCGTATCTCAATAATCTTTATAGTCTATTGAACACCCTATAAGATAATATTTCAAGATAAAGTACAAATGTGTTGTAGGTGGCCCCAAAATAATTCGAACCCAAGAAGTCGATGAAGGAAGCAAATCTTCTTGATCATTACGCCAACCTCTTCGGGTTTATTCAACAAAAAAATTGATCTAGTTTTAGCCCTACCATGATAATTGTAAAGATTCTTATCTAATTGCCAAATTATTAAAATGAAAATTCTAGTATAGATATATATTATGTAATATAGAAGACAATCTATGAGGGATCGCGTTAGGAAAAATTAGGACACAAACTTTTGGGCAAGATATTTTCTGTCTGTATATACTAAATTTTGTCTTTTAACATTAATTATGTATTAAAAGGTGATCCGATTAAAAAAATTGGCAAGACGAAATTTTAATCAAATTTTTTTGCATCATAGTTGTTAATCTTTTTTTTTTTTTTCTTTTTTTTTTTAAAACATTAATTATGTAGTAAAAGATGATCCGAATTTAAGAAAAAAAATTTATGTTGCTAAATCAATCATTGAATTTAATAAAATTATGAAAATTTATGATACAAATATATGCATTTTTTTTTTAAATGAACTATTATTTATTATTGTAAGTGAACACAGGAAACTTTCTTACATCATCTATTTCGAAATTTGTCTTTTAATATTAACTAGCAATAATAACAGTCTAGATTTGAATAAAAAATATATACGAAGTCTGATTAATTAATATTAAGAGTAAACAACTTTTCCCCACCCAAGGTTTGCTTAATGACACTTTCCCACAAAAAAACGTTTCAGAAAACCACTTTTCACCCAACGTTATATTCCATTACTACCCAAAGTCGATTTCGGCGGCGAAAATTTTCTCTGTCACCACCATTGAACCTCCAGTCTCCTCTCTACAAAAACCCTCTCATTCCGACAGTGATTTCTCATCAATTATGACCACTGTAAAACTAGAATTTCCTGTTCTTAGCTGATTTCCAGTTGATTTCAATGTGATATTCAATCAGTACCACCATTCGATTCACCGGTCTCCACTCTACAAACTCTCTTACCCTAGCTCCTAGTAACTCGCGAATGCCAATTGAAAAAGTGAAATGTATTTTGAGTATTAAACGGAATATAAACTTTGAGTGAGAAAGTGGTATTTTGAAACTTTTTTAGTGGGAAGTGTCATTAAGGCAAACCTTGGGTGGGAAAATGTTGTTTACTCTAATATTAATCAATAATATTATGGTAGCATATTAAAGACAAATATAACTAACTAATGAATACAATTAGATGGTCGGCTCGCGGTACAAGAGATGTTGAGTCAATCTTATTATCACCGAGATAATAAAATATGAAAAATATGAAAAGAAAATGTTAAACTTGTAACCAATAAGTCAAAACCAGTCGTCCCTCTTATTTCTAGTAAAATTTTAGTAATTTCCTCTTTATTTCTCAATTTTCTAAACTAATCTTCTTATTTGACAAACTAATTCTTTCATTTTTTTTTTTTTTTTTATGATTTAGGGTGTCTAAGATAATTTGTGCGTATTTCAACTAATCTCTCAAGATGTTAAA